TGTAGTCCTTTGCCTGGTTTTTAATTGAGTTTATGTATTTATTTTTGCTGTTGAGGTATAGGAATTTCATATATATTTTGGATATTAATTCTATCATATATATGATTCACAGATATTTTCTCCCATTTTGTATGTTGTCTTTTCACCCTGTTGATTATTATTCCTTGATAAACACAATTTTTTATTTTGATGCAGTCTTATTTATCTTTTTTTGCTTTCATTGCCTGTATATTTAGATACCATGTTACTATGTTATATTCCAATAAGTTCCAGTATCATAAAGTTTTCCCTTTTTCTTTCTTTCTCTTTCATTTATTTATATTTTTGAGTTAAGCTCTTGCTAATTACTCAGCCTGGCCTTGAAGTCACAGCCTCACATTTAGGTCTTTTGCTCATTTGAGTTAATTTTTTTTTTAAACTAAATGATGTAAGGTAAGGGTATCATTCTTTTGCATCTGGATATTCAATTTTCTTAACACCATTTGTTGAAAAGACTCTCCTTTTCCTATTGAGTTGTCTTTGTACTTTTGTCAGAAATCATTTGCCCATATTGAAAGGTTAGAAGTATATTTTTGAACACCCATCTTAACTAACTCTCCATTAATCAGTCTCATTCTGTTTTTCCTACTAAATATATATATTTTTTATCTATTCACTTCTTTTTATAGCAGGCATTTGAACACTCATTATTATTATCATCCTGTCATCTAGGCTATATGAGTAGCCTGAAAACTTTCCTCCTTACATATTCTCTTTGGTAAAAAATTTGCTTTATGCAAAGGTAAAATTGATATATTATGGAATTGACCCATTTAAAGTGCACAAATGATGAGAGGGGAGGGGAAGTGGAGGTGGGATAGGAAGGGCAACAGAATAGAATAGACATTATGATTGCTGTATGTATATAGGTGACTCTATGACCAGTTGTGATTCTGAAATCTGTACAATCAGAAAAATGAGAAATTATACCCCAGTGATTCAAATGTATGAATTGCCAAGATCATTGTAATGTCATGTGTAGCTAATAAAAAAATTAAAATTCATTTTCAAAATAAAAAAATAAAGTGTACAATTCAATAATTTTTGGTATACTTACAGAATTGCCCAACTATTACTAATTTTAGAATTTTATCATGCCCCAAATTATATACTCTTGGCTAACTCCAATTTGTTATCCAAATTGCAACTAGATTAATCTTTTAAAAATAGCCTAATGTACCTTTTGTTCTCCTCTACCTCTCTACACAAAACTTTTCCATGATCTACTGTCTTCTCATGATAGACCCAGACTCTTTGACAGAGCCTTTGTCTGTTCCCTGAATTTAGGTTCTGTTTTACATTACTCTTCACCATAGTATGGCACTATTTTTGTAGCTATACCATGCTCCCTCCTTCCATATGGATTTTCTCTGCCCATGTCCCTATCTCTACCATATGTCCAACTTGCTCTCTACCATATGCTCAACTTACACACTTCTCAAGGAAGCCTATCATGACTCTCCTTTCCCCTTTCACACACCCAGGTAAGCTTAGGGTCCATCTGTTAGCCTCAGATACCCCTTCTAGAATATAAGCTCCAACAGACCTAGGGCTGGCACACCACACTAGCTCCATTGTCTAGCATTTTATAGAGGTATTATTTGTTCAACTAATACTATTGGGTGTCTATTATTTTTCAGGTATCTGTCTTAAGTGCCGGGGAACATGATCACGAATGTCTCTTGCTTCATAGAGCCTATGTTGAAAAAGGGAAACATTCTATGCAAAAAAAAAAAAAAAAAACCTGAATTTCCCTGCGTTTTTATTGGTGAGAGTGATCATCTTCTATTATTCAGGCCAGTGATGCATTATCAGAAGTCACTGGGTGAGGCTCCTTAGAAGCCTGGAGATAAGTGGGCAGATACATCCGGAATGTGCCTTTTGCCACTTGCTCTGTCCTTCCTTTTCTTTCCTGGAATACAGTTGAATTGCTAGAGGTGAATGATGTATCCTGAGACAATAAAGTGACAAGTATAGAAAGGAAAGTCGCTACTAAACAGGTTGAACAACAAGATATATCCCACATGGGCTCTTGGTGGCATACTGGGGAGCTATATACCTGACCTGGATTATCTCTAATCTTCTTCGGCCTGAGAAAAATAAATCATTATTTGTTAAAAAAATTGAAATGTATGTGGCTGAGTAAGTCACATAAGCTCAATATTTTAAAAGTATGGTCATAAATAATGTTTAAAAATGTTAAAAGAATTCAAAGTAGTTGCATCTGAGGGAGGGGAGAATGTGGTTAAAATTGCTGTTTTTTTATATGGTTGATGCTAACTCAATTTGATGTTTTGGATAATGCATATGTATTCACTTAAAGACAAATTCATGCAAAAGATAAGTGTTTCTCTGTGTGGAACATTTTAATAGCTTCCTATTTTACTTGAAATGAAATCTAAATTCCTTTAACAAATTCTTTATGATGTGGCTGGCCTTGCCATTGTCTTTCTTACCTCACCTTTTGTCATTTTCTTCTCTTGTCTACTAACTCCCAGTCACAATCTCTTCTTTTGGTTTGTGACCACCCTTCAGCCTATTTTTGCACATGATATTTTCTCTGAATCAGTCAGAGTCCCAGCAGTAAATAGATGATAGGCTGTGATTTGGTAGCCCAGGTGGGTTTAAGAAAAGGTAGATTTAAAGAAACCAGCATAGCATGATGCAGAACTCTGTTGCTTGCAAAAGTAGGGAGCCATTTATCCCCAGGTTTGAATGATCAAAGAAGCTGGCTGTGTGAAGTTCATTTGTTAGGAACTGTGGTCTTCTGGAGAACAAAGATGATAATGAATATGTTTTTGGATATTGAGATTGCAGTGCAGAGACCGTTAATTATAGGAACACAACCCACCTGTGTAATAGTACACCTGTGTATCTGAAGGTGCATTTACCTTATGTAAAAGATCTGCTCTCTATGACTAAGTTGCTGGTAGTCACATGGATCAGGAACTTACCTGGTAGGTAGGTTTTTTCAATAAAATTTTTTCAATTTTTCTTGCATATCTGGGTGCTGGTGCAGGTTGGTGCTTAATTAAGAAAATGCATTTTAGTGGATTTGAATAGTTCAAATTAACTACAAGGCATAGGTTGGGAAGAAAAGGAAATTGGGGCAAGAAGGAAAATGAAAGAAACAAGGACACTGTGCCTGGGATATGACAGGTATTCAGTTCAGTTTTGTAACTGAATATAAAGTTTCAGGGAGGTGTAATGAGAATGAGAATACACAAAATACAGAAAAAAAGAAGTTGTGTATAGAAATTGTGCAATATCAGTCTTCTTGTTGTGAAGCAGTATGGGTGGTGTTAGTGATCCTCATTTCCAAGACCCAGTTGGGTCACAGCTGATGTGACTGGTATTTTAAAGGACATGTAGACATTTTAGGGACCATGGTATTTTCTTTACAGTGTGCTGAACAGTGTTATTCATTGATTATCAAATATTCTAGAATCTGTCTTGCACTAATTATAATACATCATTCAAGTCAAGAAGTCATTCAAGACTGAACTCTATAATAGAGTCTTCTAACATCCACTAGAAGACACAGGACAAAGCAAGTTTAACTGTCCATCTCATTCAAATCAGTCTTTTAGGTTACAAAGTTATGGGCTAAGTGAAAGAATGTTACCTCTTTTCAAATTGAAAACAACAACAACAACAAAAACTTAACCAGCCTTGGAATCTCACCAGCAATTTAATGCTGATGTTCTTGGACTGACCTGGGATACATTAAATTGGGAGAGATTTTATTGAAAAAATTGAGACAGTAATTTTTTTGTTTTAATTCTTGTGGAATCCTGACAATTATAAAAGTAACCCACATAATTAACTCTAACAGAAGTACCAGCAATATTTTGTGGGTCATTTTATTCAAAAACAAGACAGCACAAGGAAAGTAACTGCATACCATGTCACATGAAGACATGATCCCTTTTGTGCATGCAGTTCCTTCTAGAATACTTTCCCTTTCCTTCCCTCTAGATTCTCCTCCTATGACTCTGCCTTTGCCTTACTAAACCCTGTTCATTTTATAGTCTTAGTATGGATATTACTTCTTCTGGAACACTTTAAACCCTGGATTACAGGACATTTGACTCCTTGGGGTCCTCCTGGCACCCATCCAAAAGAGGTATCACACAGACTTGTAGTAGTTCACTACTTACTGATATTCTGTCTAGACTGCCCTAATGAGGACATTATCATACCTGCTTGTTGAGCTCTGTGTCTCCATCTCAAGGCCAGTCATGGAACAGTTGTTGAGTAAGTAAGTGTTCATTGAATGAATGGATGATTGTCAGAACAGAGTGGTGCTCCTCCTCACAGCTGCTTCAATGTCTTCTCCATGGAGATCTTTCAGTTTCTCAGTATGTATCATTAGCATAATTAAGGTGACTAGAGACTGCGTGTAAATTTATTGAAGTACCTAGACTTCCTGATTCGTAGGTTATTTCTCTACTCTGTATATCATAATGTCAGTTCTGTGCTCTTTGACTCTCATCTACAAATGAAGAGAAATTAAGTTTCAGTGATTATTCTCATTGTAAACATAGAATTTTGAACCCTTGTTATAGATGGAACTTGATGGTACTGTTTTATTTTGATTCTTCCTCCTCTCAGGATATAGATATACTTACTTGATAGATTTTTTTGAATGTGCTGTGCCCCTCTTTTTAGGGACATTACTGCTTATGTTGTGTTTAATATCATGATCTGGATATGTGGAGATGTAGCATCATTTATTTGGCCAATATTTATTGGTTACTACTATGTGCCTGTCCCTGTGCTAGGAATTAAGAATGAATTCAAGGGCAGCAAGGAGCTCGCGGGAGTCATGGCTGTGCGTCTCAAGAGAATGCCTTCTCTTCTCTGGAGGTGCTATGGTTTGCATATGGTTTTACCCATAAAGGTTCATGTGCTGGGAGGTTGGTCTCCAATTTAACAGTCTTGAGAGGTGGCAGATATTTACAAGGTGAGGCATAATGGAAGGTGATTAGGTCATGGGTATTCCACCCTCATGAGTGGATTAATGTCTCATTTCAGTGGTTCAGGTCTTATAAAAGTGGATTAGACTCTGAGAAAGCAGGTTGTTAAAAGGTGAAAGCCTGTCTATTCCCAGCTCTTGCTTTCTGTCTCATCTTGTGAACTTCTCTGCATCTGCTCTGGCCATTGTAATGCCATCTGCCATGAATCTCTCACCAGAGCACAGCAATACCAGTGCTGTGCTCTTGAACTTCCAAACGTGAGCTAAATACCGCCCCCCCCTCTTTTTTTCCCCAAATAAAGTATGCAGACACAGGTATTTTGTCATCAGAAGAGATATGTAGGAGAACATGGAAATCAGTGCTCTGTGGGTGGGAAGATTTAGAGTGAAGAAGGATTGGGCAAGATAATGTCAACACAGGGCCACTTAGGGACTTTCAAAAACTGTCCTGCCAAAGGCATCAGCTGCTCCAGTGACATTGCCCCTGCAGCTTTGCCTTTGCTAGTCCTCTGCTTGGTTGGAGCCACACAAGTACTGTGTCCTACATACAGAGTGATCTTAAGGATTTTGAGAACAGAGTTAAAAGTTATGTAAGTACCTGAATGTCTGATTGATCCCCTGTGAGGACAGAATGGTCTATGTGGGGATATGGTGGACTCAGATGTCCCATACTGTGATTACAAACCTTGGGGTTTAATGTGGCACTCCATTCATCTTCAGACAGACATCCTTTCCTTAACCAAGTGCTACAATCAGCATGCCTGAGGCTTTGAGAGCAGGAATAGGAGCAGGGGCAGGAATCACTGTGCTCAGCAACATTAACCTTGCCTGGTGGAGATCTGCTGAGGGGTACAGAAAACTTTAGGACAAGCTCAGCATGCCCAGCCCACAACAGTGGGGCTCTTTGCCCAGTTTTATACTAACACTGTATAACATTCCTGGATAGCCAAAGAGCCTCGTGGAATATTGCAATTAATTAAGTCTCTAGGTTTAGATAATGTACTGTCAGCTGTTAGCCTCAGGTAGAAACTAGAAAAGTGGAACTTAACAAAAGTAGGGATGTTTTACTATGTATAAGAATGTGTTGGGGAAATAGCTCAGTTGGTAGAGAGTACTTGCCTCACATGCACAAGGCCCTGGGTTCAATCCCCAGCAAACCCCCCCCCCCAAATATTTATGTTATTTCATAAAAGGGCTTTTTGAAGATCTTATGGATGTATTTTAAAGTGGATCTTAATTGTGGAATTGGAATATATACCCTGTCACCTTGCTGTGCAGTCTCTTTTGCTCTGAGTTAAGCCATAATCTTTACTCATTTGAGGGAGGGTTTTGAATTAAGGGTGAGTTTTGAGAGAAAAAAATTAAAGGAAGCTTATAACTCAGTGTTTGCAACTTTACTTCCTTCAGTACCTGTAGGTTAAATGTATGTCAGTTTTCAGTTATGTTGGATAAGAAATTAATTTCTTGAGGTTATTTTACACTTTGAAACACTAACTCATCCATGTTTTTTAAAAATATTTCTTAGTTGTAGATGGACACAATACCTTCATTTTATTTACCTATTCATATGTGGTGCTGAGGATTGAACCCAGTGCCCCACATGTGCCTGGCAAGTGCTCTACCACTGAGCCCCAGGCCCAGCCTCTCATCCATGTTTTAGAGAATTTTCCTCTAGTTCACTTCCTGTAGTGTGGAGGCATTTAAAATCTGTTGTCTGCTAATGAACCCCTTTTCTGTTGGCAATGAGATGTATGTGAATCATAGGGCCAAGGTTTGTAGATCTCCTCTTGTAACATCAGAACTGTCAGTCAAACCAGCGTATCCAGGGATCATGTGAGCAAGGTTACAGAGAAGGTAACAGGCTTAATTCAATGGCCTAGAGAGATACAGCCATGCACATTTTATGATAAAGCTTAAATATTGATAGTTACTTTTATATGATAAAGATTAGACACTGATGACTACTTTTCAAATTATATGTATTTTTTCTGAAGATATTTGACATAACACCCTCTTCCCCTAACTTAGTAAGGGAAAAAAAAAAAAAACTCATGAATCCTGATGAATCATTTTGATTATAAAGTACATTTCAGTACCATATGCTGCTCTGTCCTTTGTTCTTATCCTATTAAAAATTATTCCTGGTTGGAGACTTTGAATATTCCTAAAGACATTATGAAGTTTGATCCAGAAATGTTTTAAATTTTTCTTGAGGGGGTGGGAGGAAGACAAATCTTAGTATCTTTTCTCAGTATTCCCACAGTCTATCAGAGTGACACATATTTAAAAACTACATATTTTGGTTCTTATCATAGAGAAAATACAAAAATCTTGTGAAAATATTATTCCTTTGAGAGTCAGGGGAGGCTTTATAGAAGAACTGAAATTCAAACTGGGTCTTTTTTTGGCAATACACAGATGACATTTTATTTATTTATTTTAAAAAATGTGTTCTAATTAGTTATACATGACAGTAGAATAGATTTTGACACATCATACATAAATGATCTATAACTTCTGATTCTTCTGGTTGTATGTGTTGTAGGATCACACCAGTCCTGTAGTCATATAAGCACATAGGGTATTAATGTCTGATTAATTCTACTGTCCTTTCTACCCCCATACCCACTTCACTGCCCTCTGCCTAATCCATAGTACTTCTATTCTTTCCTAGACCCCCACTAACCACAAACTGGGTTTTGAAGGGTGAAAATGAGTTTGACAGGTGGAAGGAAGGCAGTAGGGTGTTCTTGTTAGATGAATTGTGTGGAGGAATGTACAGAGGTGAGGAAGACTGATATTTTTCAATGTGTGTTTGCGTTTTGTATAATAATTCAGTTTTAGGAACTTATTTATAATTTATTTTTATTGCATGTATTAAATGTATACATATATTGATATATATATATATAAAATTTTCCTCTAGTTCACTTCCTATAATATGGAGGCATTTAAAATCTGTTGTCTGCTAATGAGCCCCTTTTCTGTTGACAATGGGATGTATGTGTATGAGAGCTGGTTATTATATTCCAGAAAATTAAATATATCTATCACTTCATATGCTTTTGTGTGTGTGTGTGTGCATGTGTGCACGTGTGTGTGCACGTGCACACACATGTATGGTAAGATAAACATACCTAAAATGTATTCTCTCCACAAAGTTTGAGTACACAATACAATATTATGAACTATTATCCTTAAGCCGAATGGATGCAATGACAGGTTGTACTGTCATTAGTAAAGCTAACTTGAGCAGTGGATTCAGAGGTTACAGTCTACTATTTCCCAAGTAAAGTTTCTAGGCACCTTGTTTCTCAATGTTTTCATTAGTTGATCATCTCTGCCTTACTTATTCAAGTAAAAGTTTTAAAATGGTGGTTCCCCAATGAGCCTATAGAATGGGAGAAAATTTTTGCCACCTGCACCTCAGATAGACCATTAATCTCCAGGATATATAAAGAACTCAAAAAACTAAACACACACACACACACACACACACACACACACACACACACACACACACAAAACCCACCAACCAAACAACCCCCCCCCCAAACCAACAACAAACCAATCAATAAATGGGCAAAGGAACTGAACAGGCACTTCACAGAAGAAATATGAATGGTAAACAAATACATGAAAAACATTCAACATCTCTAGCAATTAGAGAAGTACAAATTAAAACTATATTGAGATTTTATCTCACTCCAGTAAGAATGGCAGTTATCGAGAATACAAGAAGCAGTACATGTTGGATGTGGGGTAAAAGGTACACTCATAAATTGCTGGTGGGACTACAGATTGGTGCAATCACTCAGGAAAGCAGTATGGAGATTCCTCAGAAAACTTGAAATGGAGCTACCATTTGATCCACTTATCCCACTCCTAGGTATATACCCAAAGGACTTAAAAATCAGCATACGATAGTGACATGGCCACATCAATGTTTATAGCAGCTCAATTCACAATAGCCAAGCTATGGAACCAACCTAGGTGCCCTTCAACAGATGAATGGATAAAGAAAATATGGTATATATACACAGTGTAATATTACTTAACCATAAATAAGAATGAAATTACGGCATTAACTACTAAATGGATGGAAATGGAGACTATCATTCTAAGTGAAATAAGCCAATCCCTCCAAAGGTTGAATGTTCTTTCTGACATGCAGTTGCTAACACAGAATAAGGGAGGCAGGTAGGGAAAACAGAAGTTTATTGGATTAGACAAAGGGGAAGGAAGGGAAGGGGAAGGGAAGAGAATAGGAAAGATAGTAGAATAATTTGGATGTAACTTTCTTATGTTCATATATGAATACACAACCAGTGAAACTCCACATCATGTACAACCACAAGAATGGGAAGTTATACTCCATGTATGTATAATAACATTAAAATACACTCTATTGTCATGTATAATTAAAAAAGAACAAATAACAAATTTAAAAAAATAAAAGCTGGTTCCTGAATTCTGTCATTCCTTCTACATGCATTACTATAATTCTTCTTCAAAGAGAAACTTTCCTTTAGTTGTTATGTCTACTGGCTGCCTTTTTAACAGGAAAGAGTATATGTTCATATATTTCTCTTTAATTGCCAATTTTCAGAGTAAGGAAGAAGTTTGTTATCTTCACTAATGATTCATGAGCACTTTAGTCTTTGCTTTTCCATATACCTCTCTCTTTTCCATATCATTATGAACTCAGGGATTTTGTATAGTGTATATTTTAATCAACTGCAGATGTTATTCCTTTTGTTGATGAATTTCTCCCATCTTTGGCCAATGAATAGAGCCCTTTGGATTATCTCCTGTGTTCCGTGATGTGAGTCCCCGTGTCTTTGGCAATTTGCTTCCTGATGTAAGAAGATGCTGAGGC